AATAATAATAATAATAATAATAATAATAATAATAATAATAATAATAATAATAATAACAAATAATAAATAATCATAACAACGACAATAACGATAGTAATAATAATAATAAATAATGAAATAAATAATAATAATGACAATAATAATCACCTGAACGTACAGTCGAGTTCATCCGAAGCATCGCTGCATTGTGCGATGCCATTGCAAAGGTCGTATTGCGCGATGCACTCACCATTGTTGCACATCCATTGCCATGGACTGTTGCACTGCAGCATCTGTGCAGCACTCGCACTAACTGCGACCACAAGCTTGAGCATCAGACAAGTTAAGTTACTAACAGTTGAATTCCTTCTTCATGCACATTCTCAAATCAGTTCCATTGATCAATAGTAATCATTAAATTAGCATTGAATAGTAACAGTGATAATAATAACAACGTTCTTATTCTTATTTCAGCAATTCCGAAACGGATCCATCCATGCGACTGCTGTTGTTGTCGATACTGGTGCTGTGGCTGCTCGTCTTTCGCGCATCGATTCTTCTTCCAGTCTTCATCATTCAATTTTTGCTTTCCTTCAGTCCGTCTGTCTCATTCATCCGCCACTTCTCATCACTATTCTCGTCGTTTCCTCTAAAGGCAGTTACTTGGCTAAATCCACGTTCATCCTTTCATGTGTATGCGTCGTCGTCTATGTTTTGGCATAGTCTACCGTGTATGCTTGTTTGAATGTGTGTTTGTGGCATTTCACAAATGCATCCATTGTAAATCTGTTTCTTAAACCACCCCTAATGCACGGCATTTCATCTATATATTTTAATGTTTCAAAATGGCTGGTAACTCTTCAGGCTAGTTGATTCAGTGAGTACCACAGTTAATCACTAATAATGCGCACATTTGCTAGCTAGCCAGATGCATCGCAAAATCCAAGCAAACACTTTTATTTATAGGCCAAAGTCAGCAACCAACAATGCTCATCAGTCACCCCTCAATACTTTTCTTTTATGAAATTTTCAATATTTACTACTTATTCATTCTCATCTAATCCAGCCTCTTTTTCTCGATCACAATCACTGCACACATCTTTCTATCCAGCACCAAATTCACTTCTCGGCAACCGTCGACTTCAGCTGCATAACGAAAGCCAGCAATTTTAAATCAGTCAACAGTGCGCATCTTTCAGCTGCTGGCTGATTCCACTTTCACCTTCTTTCTTGCGTTTACGAAAACATCACATGATTAATAAAATCACAATTACAATTTTATAACTCAAAAAAATGCATACTTCCTTTTTTTTAGTAACTCTTTGCAGGTAAAATGTTAGCTCGTTCGGCTAATACATCAACCTACTGAATAGCGATAGATAGCGATACCATCAGCTCGAATAGCGATCGACGGCTGACATACCTCTTGACCCACAGTCTGATCATTCCGAAACTAATCTGCTCTATTGACTTGGGTGCAACTAAATTGAAAATCTATCAAAACGAGAAACAGAGTAACTGTTATTATATAATGGTTAATTTATTGCATGCAATTAGCCATTAGAGACAAAAAAAGCAATCATATAAAAATGAATGAAGGGATAAGAAGAACGACGAAGAGAAAGGACAAAGGTTACACACGAAAACGAATTAGGATGGAAGATGAAAACGAGTTAACTGAATGAATGCAGTTTCAATTGCAATACTTCATATGAAATGTAATGTGTACACGCGATTGTTTCTCGAATAAAACTTATCTAAATTTGAATACGTACTATTCACTTACACACAAACACAGACACATGTTTCACAACGTCAACAACAAGAAAAAAAAGAATGCGATTTGACATCTCACAATAATAAACAATAAGTATTCATTCATTTCAAATGGTTTATTATATTCATATGAATGTTGCGATTAGTTTATCAAATTGCAAATGATCTCATGATTTCTTCGTGACTGATGAACGACTAACAACTCATTTATGGGCATTGCACTGTATTTATTTATTCATATAATAGGTGCGTTGATATTATAAAGGAAATCAAAAATGAACTGACACGCGTACAATCGATCAGCGGAAGAAATCAGCAAGTTTCAATGTATACATATATACCTATTCAAAGCATTTCACAATGCCGACAAATAGCAATCTATTGGTTTGCTTTGGCATCGCATAAATAAAACAGTATCGTAGCACACTTCAAGACTGGCTTAAATCCGCATATTAGTTTTTTCCTTCAAGGAATCAGAGGAATAATACGATTATAAATGATCAAAATACTACGATGAAACTGGATTGAAACCATTTCACAAAAATTCACTTCAAACAATACTAATTGTACGTATACAATTCACTCGCCACGTACAGTTGCCACCCATCAAAACGCTCTGAAATTGAAAAAGTTATATACTGAAACTAATATATAACTGTTTCTTATTGTTAGAAAGTGTCTTGTTGCATACACCTCCAATACATCAATCTACACATCATTCGAGAACAATTAAAATTTGTCAAAAAATGAGAATTGAAAACGAATACTCACAAAAGCAAAATAATCTTATCTGTTGACACATACATACACGAACGCAGCACATAAATTATAAATGAAGAGAGGATACAATAAATACGCATACTAATAGTGTTGTCGACAGCGGGATGGAAGGAAGGAGGGGACTGTTGGCAGATTAATCAATTAAATCCATTGGTAAAGTGGACTGAACATATCAAGAGACAGCAATACAACAGCAAATGCTGACCGCTTGCCTTCTTATACTAGCCGCATTAGAAACGCATTGCAGAATGACTTTGAACGACACCAAAAATTTAAAAAATGAACGAGCACACCAATCAGTAATCCAACATCTTGATTTTGACCAAAAATTAGCGACAAACTCACCTCATCACAAAAAATAATAAATAATATTATGATGACTGATGAACAATTCCAGTTTTCATGAATGTTGAAAAAAATTGATGAGAACGCAACGGAACGTAATAAGTTGAAATATAGCATATAGCAACAATATTCATTGAATGTGTACACAAATTGAAACATTCCATTAACTAATCGGAAGAAAATCGACTTCACTTAAAAGCAATAATAATCAGTATCAGCATCTTCGTCATCATCCTTCTTGTCCGAAATCAGCCGTGAACTGCATTAGTTTATCCAGATCTTTCTTGTTCACGGTCGGCTTGGTATTCATTAACGATCGTACCATATCGTTCTGCAAAATTCTCATTTATTTTCACTCAATCGAACAACAATCCATTTTGATTTCACTTCTATCAAACATTATTAAAGGTGCAGTAATCATACTGCGATCAATAAAAGCAATCATGAACGAACCATCGAAAGAACAGGCTCAGCAAGCTTATCGCTAGGAACATCGATAAAAGACATGGGCTTAGCACCACGGTCACCGGGTGAGCAAGGTGTCAACAGATCGTCAACGAATTTCGACGGATCACTTCGTGACGGTCCAGAAACGTATTTGAAATGCGTTGCGGTTTGTACTTTACGTATTGGTTGCATCAGTGCTTCACGAACCACTATCGAAATATCATATCCCGAAAAACCTTCCGTTCGATCGGCCAGGGTCTAAAACAAACATAACACTTCATTTTCTTCGCACGACTTCCGTTCTACACTTAGTGAACACTACTGCTTATTCATTAGCCTTATTCTATTCAGGTAAACTTCGCTCAACACAGCAAACACAAAAACGCAAAGCTGCACTAACCTTGAAATCTTCTTCAGTCAACGAATGAGGCGTACTGTTACCAATGTGTAGTTTGAACATATCTTTTCTAGCGTTTGCTTCTGGTAGAGGAATGTAAATTCGCTTCTGAAATTAAAATAGTCGTCGCAGTTGTAATGTTTTTTCACTAGCAAGTACGTAAACTGATAATCAAAATTATCGACATTCACTGATGTTCTCAAAATCATTTACTTGTCACACTGATTGTTGCTCTCATATGATACGCTTGAAGAGCAGAACCAAATGTAAAAATGAATAACCACCTCGAAACGACGCCGAATCGCCGCATCCAATACCCAAGGGATGTTTGTAGCACCAAGAACGAGAATACCTTCGCAGTCGTTGCCAACGCCCTGCATTTGCACTAGAAATTCCGTTTTGATACGACGTGCTGATTCGCTTTCCGTATCTGAACGCGATGAGCACAACGAATCGATTTCATCGATGAAAATTATCGACGGACGATGTTCTCGTGCCATTTCGAACAGTTGCTTAACCAGTCTGAATAGAATATCATTGAAGCAATCAGCCAACTTCAATTATCACCACAAAAGTCATTATTAAATCAATTTCATCACCGAACATAGAGTTGATAACACAATCAGCGCTATCCTCTCATCAAAATATCTCTTCAAGCAGAAACAAAAAGAAAGATCCTTTTTTCTACCTCTCCGATTCGCCAAGCCATTTGGACATTAGGTCGGAGGATGAAACCGAGAAGAATGTTGAATTGTTCGCCTCTGTTGCGACTGCCTTCGCAATGTAGGATTTGCCCGTACCTGGCGGTCCGAACAGAAGGATTCCACGCCATGGTTTTCGATTACCTTAAACGATTGATTCACCAACTTTTACAAATGCTTCTTTTAATTACTATTCCATTTCACTTTAAACTTCAACCACCAAACAGCAACAATACAGATATGCAGAATGAAAGTTGAGCACAAGCCCAGTAGCAGCAGCGTAACGTGCAATACAGAACAAATCAGTCTCAATTTCTTTTAAAAAAAGCGACAAAAAAAACGTAGAGATCATCAAAAACATCATTACTAATGCAAAAAAAAACTTCGGTGGAAAATTTTGATTAAGTAAAACTAAAAAACTTGGGCCGTTTTTAATTGTGACAATGATGATAACAGAATGTTGATCTCGTTCGCTCCACACTAGTACAAAACACTACCAAACTAGTAATTTCAAATCATGAACCGATCAACTCAAAAAATTTGTGGAATTCGTTAGCAGTAGCCAACAACAAAAACAAAATCATTGAAGACAATATCAGTACGGTGAATTATCTACCATAAAATACGCACCAACTATAGGCTCACGTAACTATTTGATGATAATGTTGTTGAGCAGGAAAGTTCGAAAATGACGTAGAAATAAATTCAGTAGAATATGATGCGATGCTTGCGATGACAGGGATTCATTGTGATTTATGCATATATAGAGCACTTTAAAAAGAAGTGAAGTTATACTAGAAGCAATGAGTGAGTGCATTGCTGCTAGTCGTTGCACGGCTTATGCATTTTCGCCAGTAAACTACACGAACACGAACCCGAAACAGCTTATACCTTACCCATCCATTCATCTAGATCTATCTATATGCACCTATCTATCACAACTTATCCAACACGTTCATCTCCTTGCACGCGACCTCTCATGCTGCTACTTCTAAAGCGCTCGCTATGATCTTTATACTTGATATATACTTTGCTATCGCTCTGCTACGTCCAAAACAACAACAATAAGCCATAACGTCGTCTGAAACTCAACAATGCACATTTTATCTCTTTTATTGATTGTGCTGCTATATGAAACAAGCCACTGATTCACTAGCTGGCTCACTGACTACAGCTTGAGCTGTTTGCTTCATGCTGCTCGCTCGTGCCTGCACTGTTACGTTTGGTTACGAATGAATAAATGAATGATGCAATATAATGCCTTTGGCGATCTAGCATCGTGCAATTTTCAGCAGAAATTATCCACGTCGACGAGAGACGAGATGAGAAACGACTAGGATATTGCATCATTTGAGTCGTTTGCTTGCCTATCTTTCTTCCTCTTCCTCTTACTCAAGCTAAACGAATTCATTCCATCGAAACAACATCATCGCTGCATCGAATCAGATAAATGAACGATTGCTTATAAAAGCAATAGCAGTTTTGTTGAGTAGTCGTCGACAACGACCAATTTTATCTTGGTAGCTCCTCTTATACAGAAATACGATCAACGTTCTCAATAAGACACTGCTTCGTCTCTTTGTTGTTCTTCATAAACTCCTTTCTGCTATAGCATTTTCTTATTCATCCATTAAACATTTTTCATTCTTGAACATTTTTAAGCACATACGCCCCCCTACCTACACTACATACCACTACCAAACTAGCAATTTTATTTGTCATTCAATACAAGACAAAACAGGTAAGTGGACCAGCCTGAAGTAAATAAGTACTCTGTTGAGTCTTAAGATCCAAGCATTTGTCTGTCTCGTTCAAATCCACTTCTTTGTCATAAAGCACCCATCTGTCCATCACTACTACTGCAATTATTCCCTGATACCACCTCCCTCCTTCCAATTGCCACTTGCATTATATTTCAATTTCAATCCATCACTACTTATCTCCCACCATCAATTCAATTATCTTTATTTCAACACCTTTCCACCAACAATACATTGTTACCATTGATAAACTCATTTCAATGCTAATATCCTTAATGCCTACCTATCAATCCATTCCCCTTTAATTTACATCTATTATTAATGCATTGTTTTCATGTTTTCCCTTTATAACCGCTTTTGCATTCCTTCTGTGCGTTATCGCAGACAATACTTTACTCCCACCTATTGATAGAAATAGATGGATTTAGTGAGTTAGAATGAAAATCAGCCTCTCTTCTGAAAATCAACTCTTCTCGCAACCAATCAATAGCGAAGGTGATAGCAGTAGACATTTTGCACATGAAGTTTAGTTCAGTTGCTGAGAATTGATTGTCATAATGAAGTCAGATAGACTTTTTTAAATCAAGAAATGAATGAACAGCTGTTTTACTTTTCGATAGATTTATGATAATTTTATATATTCGTATTAGTCAGTTACTCGAATAGGACGAACACGAATACGATTAATTGATTGTAAACCTGTAATCATAAAGAAACAGAATTTCGATGAACGATAAACTTCGGTCGCAACAAATATTCAGCTGATAGAATAAATCAACGCAATTAAATCAAAAGACGGGGATGATGCGGCCATAATGGTGAGGTATAATGACAACGCCAAGAGGTTGGAATCAGCAGCACAAGATAAGAAGACATAGAATCCGGCCATGATGAACTCGAGTGATTCGACTGATCTACTCGAGCTACAACATCCCCTGAATGTGACCACGTCACCGGCACCTATACTCGGCGCAATATTCGGCTGTTTCAGTGTCATCGCATTGGTGGCCAATTTTGTACTTTTTGTCTACATTATCTCACATCGACTCTATCGTAACTTTATATCATCTCATTTTATTGCGCATCTTTGCATAACGAATGCTGTTGCTTTATGCGCTTTACTGCCCATGTTCGTCTATAATGTTTGGACTGGTCATAATATATGGGCTTATAATAATGTGATGTGCAGAGTACAGGTTGGTGGTGACATTGTTGCATCACTTTTTTAATTCACCATATGCATGCCAACGCTCGTTCATTTATGAATTCAGTTTTTTGAGACAAATCAAACATCGATATTCATTAAAACTGTTCTATAAAGCAATCATTTGTTTATGCATTCAATCAAAACTGCAATCCTAGTGTGGCTTATATCACTCAAAATCAACCTTTTAAAAGATCTTATTTAAACATATATAATTAAGGCATTACTAACGTGTTCTGTATGGACTGTAATGCAGTTTATGGCATTATGCATTGCTGGTGTACATTTGTTAACATTCGCGAGAATTCACTACGAACAATTATTTGGATTACCACCGAATATGTTGTGTGCTTTGGCATGGCTGATTGCATTCGGACTTGCTCTACCAACGATTACCAATGGACACATTGTCATCTACGATCCAGCCTTGAGGCACTGTGTTTGGGGTGATACGTAAGCTATTTCATCACATTCAGTACAACACTTCTCACTTAATAATCAACTTGCACTTAGAAAATACTCCCCAACATTCTTTTATCGCTGAATGTCATAACAGACGGCACACTTAGACTGATGACAGATTATCATCACCTGAATGCGACTGATCCCTCAATTGAGTGACTGATCTGAGTGGAATTCGATATTGTTTCAATTACTTAACTGGAAGGCAGAATTTTTAGTGGTGTCACAAAAAAACTGAGACTCGTCTGTAACATATGAATGAATGGTATCATTTTCAGGGATAGTGGTCTCAAATTTCTCACATACCTTCTCATACTGGGTGTTGTTATTCCAGCGTCATTAGCATCTTACGCATATATTCGTGTACTCGGTATTCTCTATCACAGCCCAATCGTTTTTCAAAGTATTGGATTGTACAAAAGTCGTTTTCTCGTTTATGCGTTCCTTTTAAGGTTTGTTTATCTCTTCATTCGTTCATTTTCTTTTCTTACTATTCAAAACTCATCAGCTGTTTGTTCAGCAGTACTAATCGTACACTTTATTCATTGCGCATAAACCATTCAAAAAACTGCCGATCGATCCATCAAAAAATTTGCGAACAGTTCTCATCAATATTGGAAGAGTAGAAGGGGTCAATATAACGTACCATATTACACCAATAAGGTGGCACTTTCGAAAAATTATTTACGTGCTAATGAAACATGAGATGATTGTAGAGATTAAAAAATGGTCATTCAAGATTTGTAAAAAATGATCAAAATAAAAATTCCAGTCCATTCTATCAGTTGCCTTTTTACGCGATAACAATGGTATCTGAATGGCGTCAAGTCGACACAACACTGCCACTAATATTCATGTTTCTCGCTTATACGCAGTGTATTGTTTCACCAGCTCTTTATGGTGCATCGCTGTTCCTGATGAAAGAGGAAGATATGGCTTTAACGGCTCGTGCTCACAAAACACCAAATTCACATCAACTCACGCAACATTTGTAGAATTATTCTTGTTATTATTGCTAATAATATCACTATAGATTACTTTAGATCAAGTTCATCATTTTACCAAACATAATACTGTTAATGCATACTATTAATCGCACTATTATTATTATTATTATCGGCAGCAGAAGAAAAGTTGTCAAAAGTTAATTCTTCGAAAACTATTACTGTCTCATTTCAATGATATAATAATGATGTTGATATTGTACGAATTGTTACATTGATAAAAGTACGACTTATTATACTTATAAAACGATAACCATGTTCTACATTTATCAAACAGTTCTCTATGTGTGTACTGCCTAAGCTTGCCAAAAGAACCTCCTTCTACCCATTGAACGCATCAGCATCGCTTCAACATTAGTACATTATCATCAAACAATAAGAGCAAGACAATGCGTGAATGTCTGGCTATGAATACGATAATAAGTGAATTAAGTAAAATCAAGTATATTCATATATGGGAACGAACTGAACTAGTCTAATCTGATTTACGCACTTCATCAAATTACTTGCTGAGATAACCAACGATGAAAAGAAGGAATAACGAAAATATTGTACGCAAATTTTATTATCAATTAACGTGATGTCAATTATTTATCAGCGTTCAGTTGACTGCTACTAGGCTACTCATTTTGACTGTTGTTGGAACAGACATTTTCTGTGCATTCACAGAAAGACAGGCAGACGATCAGCAATAATCATCCAAATAAACAGATAATAAATAGCTGCTATTGTTTCTCAGATAAGCAGCGATTGATTGACTCGCACACAAATTTACTTGAAAGTGAAGTCAACGGCAACTTCAATGTCAGCACTCATTTGTCCGCATGTGATAAAGCGAAATAATTAATCAATACAATGAAATTGAATATCAGCAGAGAGAGATGATTCAACACTGGTGAAAGGTGGTCATCTATGTACGTGCGATAAATATGGTAGTGTTTTCCATTTTAAGAAAAATTATAATTCTGAACGCTCGTTCGATATTTATGGATGCATATTAGGAATGAAGATTCAAAAACAATTTCGCTGTTGAACGTATATATTGAACGTATCTTGTATAAATTCTATCGATTTATGATTTCCTCTGTGATCTGGTCGGAATCGAGTTCTATATGCAAAATCTCACTAGTAAGAAAATTGTGGTTACATTTTGAAAAATAAGGAAATAAGGAAGCGACAATTTTAATTAATAACTGAGCAAGAGCAAGCTTATGGAAGAGGGACGGATGGACAGTGATGCGCGGATGAAAATATATCCGCCAGAAAACATAACTGAAAATGAGAAATTGGAGAATTCGAATCTTGTGTGCTTTCGGACGCCAGTGTTGCAAAAAAAAAGAATCTGCATGTGAATTGGCTGAAGACTGAAGAAGCGAAATATCTGAATGAATGGATTACCAGTAAAGAGTTGTGGAAACTTGATGGGCAGAATGACGGCTTCTTTGAGCGCTTCTTTTGCACCTTCTAAACCAGCGATATCGTCCCATTTCACGTTCGGTTTCTCCATAATGATCGCACCTGATAATCGCTCTTGTAATTTCTTGTTCTCACTGTCCTTCTCTGAATCCGAATCATCTTTATTACCAGGTCCGCTATCCTTTACCGCTTTCTTTTTACTACCTCCTGTCTGCAATTTATCACCATAAGATATTTCATAACAATAACAAATTCATATGCATGCATCAACACATTTCAAAAGTTGAATTAATCAATTAGCAAACCTTAAGAAATTCCTTCACTTTCTCGGCTCGATCCAAATATGACGCGCATCTTTGTCGAATTGTTTCTTTCTGTTTATCACTCTGCGCTTCATCTATACTCTTTTTGTTTTTAGTTCATTTCGTGAAAACAGCTCAATGAATTGGAAACAACCAATTACAAAGTGATTATCAACTACACCATTAGAATAAACGGAAGAGAAGGCGAATTTGTGGACGGTTCCTTAGCAATATGATGACAGTAATGCTAACTGACATGCACACTCTCATAAAGCCTATTCAAATTATACAAGTTCGTTTTTGGTCCACTTTGATGAGTCATAATTTTTACAGTATTTGGTTTAAGAAAAATATACAGGTATCCATCTGTATGACGGAGTACCGTTGGAGCAAATCAGATAATTTTACGAAAATCAACAATGAAAAATTAATCAGTTCAACACTTTACATTTGATAGCATGAAGGAAATAATCAATGCCGTGCTCGTAGAGTCGCAGTGCTTCTTGATAATTCTTCTTTTTATCCTCTTCGGTTGCCTTTGTTACCAATTCTATCGCTTTCTGAAATAAGAGAAAAGTAACTGATTGGTGATTTCTGACAATAAAAATTCACTCAACATTCTAATTTCTGTTAGGTTTCGACGAGCTTGAAGGAGTCAGAAACTCAACCTGAGTATTATACATTGCTGGTGAAGCACAATTAAAATGTTACGAATAAAATTATGAAGTTTTGATAATAATAAGAAAAAAATTCGACGATGAATAACTTCAAAGCATTAACGGTCGAAAAAATAACGTCTAGAAGGTGGGTTTGTGTTTTAAAATTTCTTTATGACTAATTCGATCACTTTAACTTTTTTTCCTTATGTGAAGTATTCAGAGGAAGTTTGTAAGATGAAAAATAAACAAATCATATTCACCTGAAGCGTTGTGCCATTAGCAGACATCCTGAAAATGAAATACTTTTCGAAATAGTAAATTTGAAAGGAGGGTATGACCCGATATATTAAAACAAAACGAACTGTATCCAACAACAATGTAAAGGTGATTCAATGAAGATTAAAAAGTTCAAGCCGGATAGATAATACTGAAAATGGAAGAAAGACGAAGAATAATGAAGAAATTATTTTTCCGACGTTTGTTGTACGAAATCCAATTTTCAATCAAGGCCCACTGATGGTGAGGTGATTAGTCAGCAACATGCCACATCTTAACAATATCAGTGCCGTGAACACATCACCAAAAAAAACGTTCCGCTATAGCTGTTGTCAGCATGATTTGAAACTAAAGGTCATCGGTGCGAATATGGAATCAGTAAATGTTTTAAACACTATTGACACAAAATTTAGCGCTGAAAAGTCATTAAGATGGCTTGAGTAAAATGACCGTCTCTATGAGCGTTACTCAAAGCAAATGAACTTATAGCAATTCCTAGCTTGTGAATTTATTTACGCAAACAAAACAATACACTTAACACCACTGAAAACCATTAAGATTTTCATAATGCGATGATGACATCAAAAACAATTGATGAACATAGAACCAGATTCGAATGATTCATCGAAGTTCGAACTGAAAATAATCGTTGTGAGAGACAAACAAAATACTTTCAGCTGAGTACTATTCAATAACGAAGACATTAATAAATTCGCAGCAATGATGAAAACCTTTTCAGATCTCGAAATTCCGATAGCCTTCAAGTTTCCAGTGCAGATTGTCACTGAGGAAGTATCATTAAACAGCGAATAAACGGAGATCAGTACAGCCAATCGTATGCTTGCCGTACATCTCTTATTATTTGTTACGAATTTTTTCAGAAAATATATCATTTGAAGGTTCCTTGCTTTTTTGAGGCTTTCCTTTTTTGTATTTTTTGTTAACGGTAACTTTAACTGACTCATGGGCGAAGACCCTCTCACTACTGATTCATTTATCAATTTGAAGTAAAAGCTGTTCAGTTTACAGTTGAACTTTCTAAGCAATAGATCCAAGTGCAAAAATTTTCAAAGAAATAAAAGCATTCGCAATAGTACTTGGCAACAAATATGGTGTAGGATAGTAATATAATCGTGGACGTTGATTTACTGATCGGAGAATCATCACATATTACCAGCTTTGTTGCGGAGTTGCAGGCTGGATTCGGATTGATCATTCTTGATGTTCAGAAGTTTTGATTTTTTCAATGATGCCTTGGAAAAAGGGAATATTGCGACCACTGAATTTGTTGGTTATATTGATGAGAATCTATACGTTTTAAGCATGATTTAAGGACCTGTATCCTGGAATAATTTCGAATGAGGAAAAACAGCCAACTCTTGTCTCGAATTATCGCAATAAAATGAGCTGAGACAGGCGATGCTTTCATGCCTCGAATAGCGATGAGAGATGGGAGATTTCAGGATGGAAACAACACTTTTCCGAGAGCTTTAAAATTTCAGAAATTTCGAAGCTTCCGAGGAACATTTCTCGGAATCCCTCGAATACTCTCAAAATATCTCAGAATTTCGAGAAAATTATTCAAAATGCAGCGTTCCGAGAAAAGATATCTTATTGTTAGTTTCTCACCGTAACCGATACGGTATGTTTCGTTGAATGAGACGAAACAAGAAATTATTGGAACCCATGTTCCTCTCATTAGTTCTTATCTCGTCTTGACTGCTATCGTTAAAATGAAAAATTCAATTCGAGACGCAGTTTGAAACCTTCAGAACCTATAGTTTGTGCAACAAGAAATCAAGTCCGCTTTGGGCGATTCTAAGAAATGTTCATTTATTATTCATGTATTCATTACTTCATTTCTTCAAGATGGGTACTGAGTTTCCTAAAAAAATAAAGTTCAAAATAATATAGTTGAATGTGATGTGTTCAAAAATTACATTACGATCAATTAATTGATATGAAAAATGGATGCAACTGGATCAAACGACAAATGTTTTATGGTATTGGTGCCATCGCATAACAATTTTCGTATCATTTTCATCCACCTCAACTTTATTGCTCGCAAAAAGTACGTTAATGGCGTCTCACAGTTCTATAGCTTGGAATTTTTTTTGTGACTTCAACCACTTATCAATGCTTCGAGACTGTTGAGGTACTTCATGCAAACACTGAGAATTCTTGATGCTTTATTTAGATGATGCAACTGAATATTACAATACATTTCATCGGTATCCAAAAATCAGCTGCATGACAATGCTTAGTAACCAAACCGAACGAACCATGCATGAAACTTGAACGCATAATATAGTCAATCAACCGTTCGGGTGTAGAATCAAGTCTTGTTCGAATACGAAATAATATACAGCGTTGAACGCAAATATTTGTATTTAAATAAAATAGCAATGTATTCATAATGTGAAGATTGTTCTTCGCCTGCAAGTGGAATGCATCATCATTATCCTAATGTCTGGATAATGGATGAATGGATATAGATAGTGGCTGGGCTGTGTCTTCGCGTTCGTTCATGTATTGTATAAGTAGCTGTGGTTAAGATTTGATGGTGCCGTTCTGTTGTGGTTGGTTAGTGCTGGTTGAAAGAAAAGAACAGAGAAAATAAGAAGGAATATGACGAATACGAATAAGAATAGAACGATGATGATAATGATAAGAAGTTGTATAAATGAATAATAACACGCTAAATAAATGGATGCATGATTCGAATGCGCAATCAGTAAAGAACAACTATCTTGTCTTCATACTGAGAAAATAAACGTGCTCCAAGGAGTAACTATTTCAATCAAGACTAAATATGAAGTAATGATATTGCAGTGCTGATATCGTTCATCGCTGAAATTTCATCAAAAATTGAATTCTCAAGTATCACCACAACGAAATGATCCTATCAGCATAAACTGACTTTATCAATCAGTAAGTGTTCTTTCGATTCCAAGCATTCATATCCTAGTGTGCTACAGCACAATAAGTAAATAATTTAAATTGGCGGGTGCAATCTTAAAACGAGCACAATAAGAAGAACAGAATCTCTCTCTCTTATGTGAATGAGAGTTGAAAGTTGGCGAGGCAGAGACAGAGAGTGTGATTGAGAAAGTAAGAGAACAAGAGGTAGCGTTGTAGAGAGAGGAGAGGAGTTGTGCTGCTGGGGTGGTGTGCTGCTGCTGCTGCTGCTGCTGCTGCTTCTTGCCCTCGTGTGTTATATCATCATCGCACGATCATCATCATCACCATATCATCAGACGACGCGCGACAGGAGCCAAGCCGAGAGCCAAACCCTCAAGCGACAGTTCGCGACGTCTCGCGGCGACGCAATGCGACTTATGGGGTGCATGGTAGGGCACTCCTCCACGGTTGGTGATGAAGAACGTGAACAACGAAAGGTAATTTCAGTTAATGCCTCCTCTCCCGCAACCAATTACCCTTCCACCCACCCCTTCAGTCTTCTTTTCTCCATTTAATTTTAAATTCAGTATTCTTCATAAACGATTATGAATGTTTGACGGTTAAAGCTTGTCTTTTGAGCGTGTAATGATAAGATAGATGGGAACTTACAACTGTTAGTATAATAATTATTGTGAAACTATAATAGCAGCTTATTATTTCGGCATCAGGTTATGTCTTCTTCTGACACGCACAAGTTCGAGATTAATCACGTTTTCGAAAGCTGTTTTATTTCTGAAGTCGCCTCATGATCATACTGCCATAGGTCAATCAACATGAGCCAACTAACCGACACGGATATTTGAATGAAGAAGAATACGCAAAAATACAAAGCGAAGAGTAATTGGCGCTCGAAAAATGTGCCGACGTGTTCATTCAGTTAGCTAAATAAGCAGATATTTAGCTTGAATACGTCTTTTCTGTATGATGATTGTATATTCGCAGAAGAAAGCGAATCGGTTTAAATAACCTAGTGATAACTCAAAAAAATCATTTTCGGTATTCGCTCCACTGCGCTTATATGGACGCGCGGGTTGGCACCACTTTGATGAAAAAGTGTTTAGATTTTACGATGCTGTCTAGCCGATCATCGGAGTTTGTATTTCCCGAAAACCGGTTCAATTGCTGTTGCAGGCTATATGTTCTTGAAGCATTCTTTATTATGGCAGTAATAGATGTTTGGATGTTCATGAAATTGCTCCCAAAGTTTTTGCTAAAAATTTTGATCTACTTTTAGTTCATGTCGAGTTGTTTCATTTTTGACCGTAGTTTTGCTACTGAACTATATAATTATCGGTTGTCATCATTTGAATATTTTGATTTGACCCGATAGCATATTGATATCATCAAGACTATTTATGTTGCTTCTTCATACGTCCTGCTAGTATAATTGCATACTCAAGATCAAACGTAATTGCAAACTTACTAAAGTGGATATAAAGTTCGCTGATCCATCAACCTTGGAGTATTACATGTGAAATTTGACTATGAGGTGATTTTCAAATCACTTCAATTTATTATTGTATCTGCCAAATTGATTGCAGCAGTTATATGTTTTAGCACATAAAAATGTTGGTTATAATGAATTAAAATGATCTGCTGTTCAGCTCAGATTAGACCAAATAGTCTTTATATCAGTGGTTCCCACGTTCTCCTCTTTGGCCATATGACAGACAACCTTCCCCTGCAATAATTGACATGACCCCTACTGCTCGTTTTCCTGGCAATCCATCACATGTTAGTGTTTGATCAGAAGAAAATCAAGAAGTCGATCCATTGATTACAAAGTTTTCTTTCAAGAATTCGTCGGTGATATGAAAGGAGTCAATTTATTGTGGTCAGGTACGAAATTGTTGAACATTTATTGGGAAATATGACGAAAAAAATTAACCAGTCACGATCTCCCATTTCCCTCTAACACCATCAGGCTTCCCTGCCCTCTTATGAGGGCCGCTACTGTACGGCAAAAATTGAGATAATATGGCAGTTTTTCCATTGCCACATTTATTTCAAAGAATGAATGATCGATATTTTCTCTGTTGTCTACAGAGTGATTTTTAATGCTTATAAAATGCAAACGTAAATGTGCAATGCGATGCAGCTTTACTCTTGTGATGATACGATCAGTGAGACTAGCATTTTGCGAAAGTTATTCTTGTTGCAGAAATTGATTATTTCATGCTATTGTTTCAGCCCATTCACCGAAAATTATTCTCTTGTTCAGCAAATCTGAGTCGGCAAAATTCGTTCAGGTGATATCTGTTAGTGTATGTTAGTGTTTGAATTTCCACGAAAAATATTATTTCTCTACTCTGCATCTTGTTTTTGATTCATTTTATGATTAATTTCTCTGATAAATGCTAATTTGATAAGTCAACCACAGAATGATAGTGTTGCTCAATTATCTCAGTTTATTGTTCGGTATATCAAAGAACGATGCATTGTAACTGTATCAGAGCTCATTCATTATCAGACTATTAAAACAAATGAATTCAGAACGCGAATTTTGTGAGGATCTAATCCAAATTAAAAAAACACATAGGTATTGAATTTTCAGAAAGAGTTTTTGATGATACTATCTCTTGCATGAAATTATAGTTGATATCTTGTGAAGAATTTAATTGGAGTCAGCCATCAAAGCTATTAGTATTATTGTGAAATAAATACCTTCATTTATTTTGAGTCAATATCAATCAATACAGCAGCAATTGATTGGAATTTATTCATTGATCAATAAGTTGTTGATTTTATTTGAGTGTGAAGCAATATTCACCAAAGGATCATCAAAATGTGATTTGGTCTGTTCACGTTCTAATTTTCTATTCGTCTCACTGAGCAACTATCATTGTAGTTACAGTTGTTTTGTATTTTATTTTGCATTTTTATGATGCAGTAGTTGAAATTTTTCTGAATTACATGATCCAGTTACTTCGTTTGGAATGCGAAAGTTTGGTTGTTTGTTTCAAAACTGGATTTTCATCACTTGATCAGATATACGGGAATTTGAATTTTTGAATAAATGAAGAAAAATTAGCTGGAATACCAAATGTTAGAATGAAGTGGGTAATAAATGAATAGTATAAAGAAACGCGATTCAGGTGAATAAGCAGATTGAAGAACAATTGCAAAAGGACAAACAACTGTTAAGAGCTACACATCGACTGTTGTTGTTGGGGGCTGGTGAGTCAGGCAAGAGTACAATTGTGAAGCAGATGCGTATATTGCATATTAATGGATTCAATGAAAAAGAAAAGAAGGAAAAGAGTAGTGATATTCGAAGGAACGTTCGAGATTCCATGAAGGTTGGTTGCATACTTGGTTGCTTGTTTGTTTGGTGTTATTACTCCACTCTTATTGCAGTGGATACTGATGACGATGAATTGTCATTGCTGAAAAAAGTACTAACATCATCACTAAAGTAATAATAATAATAATAATAATAATCTCTTATGATCAAATCCCTTTATTGGCCACAATCTTTGCATCCTCATCAATCTCACAAAAATAAACAACAGGCTACTGCTGTTGTTTATTTTGTATTATCATCGTGATCATCTCAAATAGCTATTCAATTCGGCGATCGACTACTGCCGTTATGCTTATTTTTAAATGATGATGATTTTAATTGGTGTCATTGCTGATTTATGCTAACGTCAACACTGATATCGATGCTGGTCTCTAATCTTCTCTTCTTAAAATATTCTCTTTACCTCCCCCAAGCACAGTCAGCAATCTTCTGCACTCATTTATTTACTTCATCGTTTCTATATTCATTCTCATTTCATCCTCTAATGAATTTCCATATCATCGTTTAATGACAACGAATTGATCGAACATTTACCTGTTACAAAAGCAAACAAAATAATCACACTAATGACAAAGACAATCAATTCAAGAGGAACGCGAAAGATTCAAAAAAAACATTCCGGAAATGCTCAGTGTGTATGTCGTTTGCATAAAATGCATAGGCAAATAATACTCTCAATCATATATTATCACTAATCAAAACCGTTTTTAGTGTTTAGATATTGTCGGAAAAATACAATTCTTAATTTGATACAGAATGAGATTTGGTCATAGGTGATTGCCGGAATAATTTGTTCCGATAATCGAATCGCAGTCGACAAATAATCTCTCAAAGACAACTATTTCAGCCGATAATCGATGTCGGTTGAAACCACTGAGCATGTTTTGTGTTATTAGATTTTTTAATTACACTCATCTCAGTTAAACACTCATTTCGTTGAAAATTTTGTCAGTACCTTATTCATTAGTTCTTTTTTCTTATACTTCGCATACGTATCACTGATTGCAAGCGATGTTGTATTTAAACTGAAAAAATACAGCAAATGTTGAAAGAAGAATATTGCCGAGAGATAGATAGATGGAT